TAGGCTCAAAAACATGCATCACCGCAGAAGAATTAGATTGAAGCTTTGTTGGATATTACCATTGTTAGTTCTACAATTGATTGTTCTATAACGACCAAAAATTTTTATTCGTCGTTATTTGCAAGCGAGGCGACGACGTGAGCCCGCACCCGCCCGTCCCCGCCCTGCGCCTCCCCATCTAGGAAACCACTTATACTAACCGAGTACAAGTTTATCAGTTTACCAACATATACAAGACTAGCTATTGCTAGTGACTTCGTCTGCGTAAAATTAAAAATGATAAAAAAGTATAGCCTATGTGACTCGCTAATAACGTAGCTTTTTAATGGTTAAAGCATTTTTGAAATCGGCCCAGTAGTTTTTGAGTTATTTCAATACATCTGAAAATTAAACAGTACAAATCTCTCCTCTTTATAACATTAGCAGAGATATAGATTAGTAGACATTGATTGTAGTCTCAAGGTCAAATACAGGTTACGACAATTACATTTGAAAAATTATTCGTTTCCTCGCTTTGCTTCTTTCCGAGAACGTGATTAGAAATATAAAATCAAGAAGTGGATAGAAAGTGGAGTCGTCCACCGCTCATCGTCCATACTTTCTAATCGAATGAATATTTTATTGACTTAACCTATTGAGAACAATATTTTATAGCAAAAAAACTTAGCAAGAAGAAAGAAAATGCAACACAAACCGCTTATCTCGCGTGCGCGGGTCGCAGAAATACACTAGTTTGGGCTTTGCTTTATACTATTTTGATATCCGTATTACACTTACTGCAAAGTGCGAACTCCGGTCAATCCTGAGATTTAACAACTGCTTATGGTGAAAGTCCGAGAATTAGTCACACACAGTTTTTTCAACAAAATTAAATTATTTCTAAAAACAATTTTAAAATTAAATCTATTAGAAAACAAATTGTGAATTGACTATTGCCAATTACCTAATAATATTTGAATGTATGTAAATCTTCAGATTCAATAAGTAAATGGGGGTAAGCACTGGAAATAAATATAACTCTTTAAAGTTTTACCATATCTAGTATGTAGGTAAATCTTAGACTTTTAACCCGAGTTCGTTCTTTTAGAGTAACATATATATTGACTTAGCAACAA